CCTTTCTAACTAGTGCTATTACGTAAGTATATTACTTAGCTTATTATTAATAAGTAGCTAAAGAGGGTAGCTTACCTATCCTAAATTAAATAGCGATTTTTATATTAAAATTACTATATTACGTTAAGTACGTACTTAGGATATATTGCGCGTATTATATAGTTAAAAAGTATATTATATTATATAATTTCTTTTAAAAGCGTAATCTTATTAAAGTCGATCTTTTATACTTATAAAGCCGGAAAAAAACTATTATATACTAGGGGTTTAAATAATAATATAATAACTATTTATCCTTTTTTTAAACCTCGGTAATAACTTATTATTTATAACCGTTTTTATAAAACTTATATTATTAAAAACTAACGCCTTATATAAGCCTAGGCTCGCTAAACTAATTATATTAAAAAGTATATTAAATAATTTAGCCTCGAGCTTTATACCTATTTTACTTTATAATACTAAATTTATTAGCTCTTATAAAATTATTAACTTAGTTAAAAAGGGTATTATAAGTTTATTTTAAATTATTAAAAATCGGTAAGTTTAGGATTTTAATTATAAAAAAATAAAAGGATTAGTTATTTAGAATATAATAAAAAATTATAGTTTAAAAAAATACTTTACTTTAAATAAAAAATAGTTATATAGTAGTTTTTTTTTTTTAGTTTTATAAGTATAAAAAATCGACCTTAACGGGATTACGCTTTTAAAAGAAATTATATAATATAATATACTTTTTAATTATATAATATATATAATATATTTTAAGTACGTACTAAATATAATATAATAATTTTAATATAAAAACCGCTATTTAATTCGGGATAAGTAAGCTACCCTCTTTAGTTACTTATTAATAATAAACTAAGTAATATACTTACGTAGTAGTATTAGTTAAAAAGGTTAACGGTAAAAATTAACTATAATAATTAGCTATAATAATTAGCTATAATAATTAAAAATAGCCCTTAACTATAGAAGTACTAAACTTTAATAATAACGTAAAGGTTTTTAAAAAAAAAAGCTAAATAAGCTAATATTTATTACTTTTTAGAGCTCGTAAAGATTTTTTTTATCCTTATCGTTTTTAATATTACCTAAAGCTACTCTCTATTTAAACTAACCTCTATTTAAACTAAATAAATTTACTAAATAAGTTTACTAAATAAACTTATTAATATATAAATTACTATTTTAAAAATACCTATCAATAAGTCTACCCCTCTCGGGCTAGGCGCCCTCTTTAGCTAGCTTAATATTATAACTATCGTAGTTAATATAAATATACCCGAAGAGTAATAAAGTACTTTTTAATAATACGAAATTTAGCTAAGTAATATTATAAGTATTATAAATAACTAGGCTAATATAAATATTAAAATTTAATATATTAACGCTAGCTTAGTTATAATAATTATAATAAATAAGTTAGAAGTATATAGGGTTAGAGTAATAAATTAGTATTTTAAATAGCTCTTATAAGACCCCCTAGGTAATAATAATACTTATATAAAAAAAGAGATTATACTAGATTTAGTTATTTACGTAAGTTAGTATTAAGAGGTCTTATATATATTAAAGTAGGTAAAGCTTGCCCTATAAGCGGCTAGAACTTAGGAGGATTTTACGTAGTAGAAGGTTAAGAGTTGCTTTTAATAAAAGAGAGATAATAGTTAAGTCGGTTAATTACTATTTTAGTTAGTAGTTAGGTATAGAGCGTATTATACTTAGTTTTCCTTAATACGTAATATATAGTACGGCCCCGGCGGATTACTCTATTGGGGGGAAGAGTTATTTTATATTCTTATACTTTTATATATATAATATATTATAATTATTATAAGCCTACGGGGCGGGCCCTAGTCTTAGTTATATATATTAAGTTATAATATATAATTATAAAAATAAATACGTATATTAAGAATAACCTTATATTAAAACTATTTCTATTCCCTATAAAATTAAATATAAGTCTTTAGCCCTATTAATACTAAGACTATAATACTTTATTAAGGTACTAGTATTTTTATAAATTAAAAAAGCAATAGTAAGTAAATGAACGGGATAACGCGAGGCCCAGTATTAAAAGTTAGGGCCGCTTAAATAAAGAGTTAGTAATATTAATAGTTATTATTATACTACGTATATTACTAATAAGGCTTAGTATTTTTTTAAGGTAGTTTAATAAAGCTGCGCTTAAATATAAGAGCCCACGACTTAACGAATAATTTTTTAGAGAGATGGCCACTTTCCCTTTTACCTTCTTTATCCTTAAATAAATACTTGGGCGGCGACAATATATAAACAACAAGATTTAGGCTATGATTAATTAAGGTAATTAGATTCCACAAAGGAACATTCTATAGGAATAAGATAGCCCTAGGAAAAGGCGGTTCAGCTTCTTCCACTACGGGTAGCAACCTTAATTTTTAATATCTACATATGCCCACATTAAGTCTGCACTTAATTATTATACATACGGACGAGGTAAGTCCTAAAGTATAACTCTCATACTATAATTTTATGGAGAATTATGGTGGCTGCTCTCGTCTATCGTGTCGAGCTCGCTCATTTGCTGCGACCCGCCCTTCTTGGGCGTGAGCATTGAGCCTCTATACTCAGCCGCAGCTGAACTCAAACGCTTCTTCTTTTCTGACTGTTGAAGGATGAACCGAACAAAGAATTGACGAAGAGTCGGTATGCAAGCTGTGAAAATTCCAACGTAAAGCTCAAGGTCCGTCCAAATGACGCTCGGCATCATGGCCACTGCGATGGAGTGAAATGCATCAGTACTCAGACTTCATCGCGTGGAGCGAAGCACTCAGGAGCTTACCGGTAGGGTTGAGCGGATCTTTCCTAAAGTCCAAGATTGCTTTGATTCGGATGCAGCTTACAACTGTGAGACTGAACCGAATGTCAGTAGCCTGCGGTGCTTCATGAGATGGATATTAAGGTAAGGTACTCACAACAGACCGAGACTGAACATGAACATGATCGCAAACTTTTTGCGGCGAGCCAGATTCATGCCCCAAACTTGTGTCAGGGGTAGAATGAGCATCCAAATGTCCAGCGCAATGTTTATCCCTGCGTGTGCCAGCGCGAGATATACAATGTTCATACACTTCCCAGTCGCATCCCCTGTCCAGAATGTCCATGCAAGACTCACGGGATTGCACTGGAACAGGCCAACGAAGATGAAGATGATGCCGTTCATGAGGTTGAGGACCTGCGTGACCCACAACGCAATGGTGATCTTTTCGCCAGGCAGATGAAAAATCCGAAGGTACATGAAGAGAATCGATGCCTTGATGATGTCGATGCAGGAATGATATAATGTTTGTAGTGCATAGAAGCCCTATAAGATTTGATGTTAGCAACAATAGCCCCAGGTGCAAGTCGTACGGACGATTTGACGTCCGCGAAGAAGCGGCAGGCGTTGAATACCTTGAAGAAATGGGTAATCTCTGAGTTACTGAGAGTCCAGAGATCTCTCCCGGCACCGTTATCCTCGACTGTTCAATAATGTCAGCGCACTTTCGGAATTGAGAATCTCTCGGTGGCTTACGAAAGACGTGCAATGACACGTACGCCACAAGTATAATCTTCAAACATCATATTAGTGTCTTGATCAGGCCTTTCCGGACTGGTCGGCGACCTACGTATGCCACAATAATAGTGTAGTCATCCCAACCCCACGGCGATAACCGAGCAAACTTCGTTATCAGCCGAAGGATGATGGCGAGTGTTGGAAGCATCGCGAACAGAACGATTCGAGCTACTTTCGTGGCTGGTACCTCATTGTGCAGAGGGAAATCACACGCGGTCCAGGTGATATTTTGCGTGACTAAAGTAGACGTCAGACAGATAACTTCCGCACTGGGGCGGACTGAGACCTACTGATGGCGTATTTCAGCGGGCAGCTCATAACAACACATCCTTCCACGAATTTGATGAAGTCGTCATCCTGACACAGACATGTTTGATCATTGGTGGGGCAGTTCGTTTGATTGAGGCCTCCGAGGAGGCAAGGCAGCTTCACTTCGAATTAACACCGCCGTATCTAGTTGCCGATGGGGTGGTTCCAGTCTTCTTACAGCGCATGGGGGATTATCGTCGAGTGAAAGACCGGGAACATTGGGTAGAGTTGGCTGTTGGGCGAAGATTGTCGTCACACCGACGAGAAGGGCCACCAAGGTTGTCCGCATGGTGTCAATCAACGGCGGTGGCTCTGATAAGCAATCTCGAAGTTGATCTCTGGTGAAAGCCAAGAAATCGAATATGGCGCTTCCTTGACGGTTTTTGTGACACCCGACAAACACTTTCAAGAGAAAGGATAGCAGCACCAGACAGGTTCGAGAAGGGGGTCTTCCATTAAAACCATCACCCGTTGCACTCTGGCAACGAGAACCACGCATTCCAGACAAAAGGCCCACGAGACATAGCTGCAAGAGGGCCCATCTCGGCGGCGTGGCTGTTCAGAGAGCCACCTCTCCCAGGCTGACAGTCTCGCTTGATTCCGGCCACCATCGTTCGGTTTCGGTGAGGTGTCTGGGGCGAGACTCTCATGAAATAGCAACCAGGGCGTCGATGGCTTGGAGAATCAGCCCGGATGGATCGAACGGGAGCGGGCTTGAAGACGCATCGGGCCTAGTTTGCCGGAGCGGGATCTTCATCGGTTCCATCCGGTACCTATAAATGGGCACCATACCTCGAGATCTCGTTAGCAGATGTGATGTCTTACCAAGAATCGCCCTGGGCAGGCGCTGGTTCACCCGCATTCTGAGTTCGATCGCGCGCGATTTCAAGGCGATTATGCTCTATCCATGACATGTGAGCCACACACTGTGGCACAAAATTGAGTTTCACAATCATGATTATTCCTCAAAAGACGATTATAATGCATGCACTGGAATAGACTTGAGTGGAGTAAACCTCGGGAGAGTGACCAAACCCGCTCATCGATACATGTATTATTCGTGCCATCCGCTTTCTCGCGATCAAGAGGTCTCCTCCACCTCCTCTTCATCTGGCTTTTGTGCATAAACCACGTGGCTATTAAAGACAGCGTCAGTAGACTCTCCCATAAATAAGGATTAGTCGAAGCACTTGAAAGGAGACTTACATCGCAGTATGGGCATGGAAGCTCCCAGCCTTCAGCTCATTGCGCACCTCGGCCAGCAGTACCAAGACTTCCTCTCTGGTCCATCCATGGACGCCACAGAAGGTCCTCAGACTGAATGCTTCCAAGCCATCCATTAACTGAATGAGGTTCATCATGCCAATTTCTTTGTAGTGAGGATCTTTGGCCCATGGTCCGATGGGCATCTTGAACTTCTGATGGACGACATCGACGAATCCTGTTTCCTTAACCCAGCCTTCGAGCAACGGTCCGATGCAGGGATCACGGCCAATCTTTCTGCAGGCCTCGATCAAGAGTTTACTCCACCGGTCAGTGTGGTGCTCTTCAGTCAGTGTTCCGTCCTCCGAGACATAATTGATGTCGTAGTCTTGAAACTCGACCCAGCCTCCAGGCTTGAGATTTCTAGGACTTTGGTCAGTATTGGCCTATCGACCGTCTAGAGGAGGCATACGCGTAGATTTGTTTCATGAGCTTGGGCCAATCGACAATAGAACCGGCCATGTATCGACAAAAGATGAAGTCGAATTTCTGCTCGTTTACCCAGGAGCTTTCAACGTCGTCAATTTCAAACTTGACGTTCGGCGGAACCCTGAAAATTGGTTAATGGGAAGTACTGCCTCAAATCCACAACACTTACCAAGATGGCTGAATTGCGCTCAAATCGTTTCCTAAAATCTGCGAAAAGTAGATTTTTATGAGCAATTAGTTGGTTAAGGACATAAGCATAGCGGAGCGCGTACCTCTGCGTTCGGAAAGACGTCTGCCACCTCGATGGCCCCTTCATACTCATCTGGTTAGCAACAATCACTCAACTTGATCTCGGGCGTTGCTTACAAATGCCAGTACCGGTGCCAATGTCAAGAATCCTATGGGTGGTCTCGGATGGAATTGGAGCCAAGAATAGCTTCCTGCCAAGGATCTTCACCATGTAGGTGTGATGAAAGTCCAGTCGGTCCATCTCTAGCTGTATATACGAAGTAAATAGTCAATGATCGTTCTTGCTTTCTGGGCGCATGTATTCTCAGGGTTCGGAATACCTCGTCATTCGGTCCCAAGTATGCTGGTTCTCTGTTAGTCACTGGTAGAGTCTCTTTGCCCTGAGCCCATGCTGGTGCGAAATTAGACCCAAGCAGGTGTATCGAGTCACTTACCTCCCGCACGAAATGCATGATACCGTCGGCCGTATTCGGTGGGATAGTCTATCGCGCTGGAGGTTAAAGACGCCGTGTAGGTCGAGCTAGTTGCGGCGTTAGTGTTGCATCACCAAAATCATGAGCAATATCTTCTACATTTGATCACTGATACTGGAGCCCGATCCGTTAATCTAGAGTAAGGCAGTTTCCAAGTCAGTTGACCCAACTCGATCGGCTCGAGAAACAAGGCTACGAACGCTAGCTGTATCATCGACCTCTAGAGTAGCAGCTTCGTTGGCCGAGGTCAGGGCCTGTTCACGATTAGGCGATGCTGTTTGTGACCTATCATTCGCCGCCACCGGGCTGGGTGAAGAGTTGGTCATCTTCGATGTCAATTGCTGGTGCTCTGTTTTGAGATGTCGGGCAAGGACAAGCGCAATTGGAGACTGGAATGCAAGTATCACCGGTCAACCCGTGACTTAAGTAGACGAGACCTGGGTAAAGAGGGGTTCTCAAGGGTTGCGAGTCCCTCGCCGGAGGATACACCGTTGTTGGTGCGAGCGCTTGGAATTTGCATGCAACATCACTTAGACGATGTTATCTCACTTGCCTGGTTCCATTTCCCTGCATGGAACAAGGATGAAGAGCAAATCAAAAACCTACCAGTTGCCTCGCAGTGGGACCCCTCAACGGCGCAGCCAACATGCAACGATGCGTGAATGCGGGCAGCCGGGACGCGACCAACAAGACCCAAGATGGGAGCTCATCCCCGCATGTGGCAGAGCGAGAGAGAAAACAATCACTTGCAATAGCAAGACATAGCATTGGAGTTCGAAAGCTGAGTGCGTGGCTCGGAACTTACCAACTTTGAACAGTTTAGATGAAACTCTAGACCATTATGGCAAGTTTCAACTTCTATGTGGCCAGCATACCTGCGAGCGTGTCGGCTACCTCACCAGTTCGACGTGAAATCAAACTGATGTGCGCCTCTTCTTGAACGACTCTGAGTTCCGCACCTCGAATCATCCCCGCTGCCTCCTGTGCCATCCGCAATGGGACGTTGACATCCTTGCCCGCATGCCAAATAACCAACTTCCCTTCCTGTACAACCAAATCCTTCAACTCGAACCCCCAAGGACTCCCGAATAGTTTCGCTTCCCACGCAAATCCACGACTACTCTCACGAAATGCCTCGCGTGTACTCTGCTCCAACACCCGCAAGATCTTGCCATCATCGGCGTACAGCGCTTCCCGATCCTCAACCGGACGACTCTTGAAGGCATCAGCCGTCGCTCGGGCGAGCCTTTCCGGGCGTTCAACATCTCGAGCGAGATTCCCCACTTCCCAGTCGGCGATGCTCTCAATGAGACCCGGTGACCACGGCGCGATGTTGAAGAGCAGGCGGTTCATGAGCATCATGCCGCCCAGACCCAGCTCCGATGGAAACATCCCGGAGACGATTGCCACACCGGCGAGCCGTGGTGCTGGGATCGAGCAAATGCATGCAAGAGCGTACGGAGCACCGCCGGAGATTCCTAGTACGGCGAAGCGCTGGATTTTGAGGTGGTCTGCTAGGTGAAGGACATCTTGTGGGAATGAGAGGATTGTGCGGTTGGGTTGGAAAGTTGAGCCGCCGTAGCCCGGACGTGTTACGGCGACGACGCAGATATTGCGCCTGGTGGCTTCTTCATGGACGGGTTGGCCTTCGTGGTGTGAGCCTGGGAGGCCATGGAAGTGGAAGATTGTTGGTTGGTTCGGTTGTGGGGTGATGCCGAATGTGGTGTAGCTGAGGGTGCGGCCATCTGGGAGGCGGAGGGATTGGTCTTTTGACATGAATGCGATTGCGGAAAGTCGTGTGATGAACCTCTCAAACTATTTACCGCCGTTCTGGTAAGTTGAATTGACGTTGGTTCAATCTGAATGCTGATGGGCGCCACCTGGGCCAAATCGAGGGATGCGACACGATTACGTACACGAATCCTTCGATACCAAGCCAATGACAGTTTCTCATTCTGTCGACGGCCTTTGATTCCGAGTATGAGATATAGGTCTATTGAGGCGCAATCGAACGGATCGTATTACTTGGCAGTGCTAAGAAACATAGTGAGATGAGATGTCGATTCCTTTATATATGTGCATTAAATTATGTGCATGATGTTGGTGAGAAAGTTTGTCGTAAGCTTCGAATGAGAGGGTTCTTCAAGACTCGACCCTTATTATGCATCTCCCAATCCCTCCCTTGCCACTGTTCACCTTCTCACACTCTTCCTTCACCGATTTCAAGTCCGCCAGGTTCACTACTCGAAAGACGCCCTTGACCTTGCCAGTAGCGATAAGCTCCCCAGCCTTCTCCAAGTCCTCTCTGTCCTCGGGATTGCCAGACACGAATTCATGCTTGATATTGGTGCCGCGTAACAAGAACGTGTACCAAAGTTGGGCCAAGTTTAACACCCAGACAACCCAGAAGGGAACCAGTGCTGGCCCAAGGAGCTCTTTTGTCAATGTTGGCGGGGGAATAGATGCGATAGACATGAGTATGCCCGTCTTGTGGTTGAGAAGAGGTATTCCGGGACCCATAGTATTCCACTGCGTGTTGAACATGAAGTCCACGCTTCCTTTGGGTATCACAGAGCCGACGTGCGTAGCGGTGTAATCAATCAGTTCATCAACCATCCCCGGAAGATGCTGCTCAACGAGGCTCATCTTAGGAGTCGAAACCGTGGAAATAATCTTCCTGGCGCCAAAGACGTTTTTGGCAACTTGGATCGCGCTGAAGCCTCCACCGCTCAGGGCTCCGGGGATGAACACGGTCTTGCCTTCCAGCGATTCCCGTCCTGCGATGGCGAGTCCGCGTCTAATGGTCTGGTACGCCGTGACGGTGTATCCCAAAAGAGATGCAGCCTCTTCGAAGCTCATATGCGGCGGCTTGGGCAGGAAAAGTCTCTCCGGCCCAACGGCGTACTCGGAGCAGAAGCCTGGGTCGGGGATGCTGAAGGCTGGCCGCGTGAAGCACAGCCCGTAGACTGCGTCGCCTACTTTGAGGGTTTTTACGTCCGCGCCGATAGCTACGACGATCCCGGAGCCCTCGCAGCCAATCTTGATGGGAAAACTGAAGACAACAAGTTGTTAGCCCTGCAGATGAGGTTTTGGCCCATGGGCCAGTACTCAACGTACCTTTCTTTGCGTAGCGCAACGATCGGAGAACCCTGAGATCTCTGGCAGTCGCCCTTCATGACAGCTCCAGCCTTTACTCGAATTATCACGTCCGTGGGGCTGGTAATGGTCGGCACCGGCACTTCAGCTACTTCCCAGCCGACAGGGCTGCCGTGCTTCGGCGCGACGAGAGAGCGCATCGTCTGAGGGAGGAGGACCATATTTGATATTCGTCGTTCTGAAGTCGACGGTGTCTAAGATGAAATTATCACGAATCGAGGTTCTTTTAAGTTTGGATAAAGGCAGGCAGCAACAAGTGTGCGACGGAGTCTTCAGGTCTCGGTCGGCGGTTTCGGTGGGGCATTCGGCGGTCTCGGCGGCACGGCCCCACCGAAAGCCCCGAATGTTTCGGCCGTCCGGAAAGGCTCGATCGCGGGGTTACACGAAGCAAAGGAGTGATGGTCTTCGAACCATTCAATTTGACGCTGAAATCAACCTCGATAGTCAATCCAGTAGATCCCGCACATTTCTGACGCGTCGCGTAGAGGATGGCTCCAACCCCCTCTTCACGCGATCTTGCCCTTTATCGGCTTTGGTGGCAGGATGAGTCAAGGGGTAACGGTCGCCCTTGCAGAAAAGAGGGAACGTGACGGGGAAAGTTGGATTGGCGACGCCATCGGACTCTGTCGCGGAATTCTGCATCGCAATAACGCCCAGCGGGGAGGGAGGACTATTCCCGCCGCATTTCTTTTCTGGACACTTTCCGCCCACGGCAGGACCGCAGGAGAGAAGGAGGAGCCGTTATGGAGGGGGTCCGCGCCTGGCTCTTGGAAGATGGAAGATGTAACTTGCGGGAGGTGCGATTGTCCCTTTACTTTCTAGGTGTTATTTAGAGAAAGAACTACCCTCGAAATGCGTTCATCATGGAGAAGCAGCCAGCAACTGCACTCGCCTTCCCAGTTTCCTAGACTTGGGCGCCGACGTCATCGTTACTGAAGTCCGCATTGCCTCCAGAATCACGAGAACTCCTGTCTTCAAGCCAATATTGGCTGTCAGAAACCTGTCGTCCTCTTCTGTCTCTTTCTTTCGCTTGTCTGCCCTTGATTCCCCATATACCACTTTGCTGCAATGGCGCTGTTCAGGATGTTCGTTTTGTTGAGCATAGCAGTCTCATGGTGTTCTGCAGCTTTCGACCCAACTTCGAAAAACAATGTTGTTGTCTACTACGTAAGAAGACTCATTTTCAAATCGTCTTCGTGACTCTGGGACTGACAATGTAACAGGGGCAAGGTCCAAATCAGGGCGACCTAATAAACCAATGCCAGCAGCCCGAGATTGATGTAATTGTCCTCTCGTTCGTGCATCTTTTCCCAGCCCAGGCAAACGGATACCCTGGAACAAACTTTGGTAATCGATGCGGCGGCCAAGTTTACCCAGGTCCTGGCTTCAACGGTGTCATCGACCCTTCCAAAGATCAGTTGCAGTCAAATTGCCCTAGTCTCAACGCTCAGATTCCAGTATGCCAGCAGCAGTATGGCAAGAAGATATTGCTGTCACTCGGAGGTGGCGTGGTATCATACCAGCTCACAGGCAGAAACGAGGGTGAACTCCTGGCAACTTACTTGTGGTACATGTTCGGACCGAAAGATCCCAACTGGACAGGGCCTCGTCCATTCGATTACAACGGGCAAGCGATTGAGGTTGACGGATTCGATATGGATATAGAGCATCCATCCACAGGTGTGTTAACATCTTCGCCGTCCCCTGGTCGATGCGTTCCATGAATGGCAGCTGATGCTTAGCTACCTGCAGACAATTCGGAAGGCTATATTGCCCTAGTGACCCTTCTGCGTACATTCTATGCCACAGCTTCGAAGCAATACTACCTGACTGGCGCTCCTCAATGCGTCGTTCCAGATGCCAACATGGCTGCGATGATCTCCGCCGCCAAGTTCGACATGATCTTTGTCCAATTTTACAACACCCCTAGTTGCTCAGCTGCGACTTGGGCAGCTAGCAACCCATCCTACACCCCTGGTTCAACATATCAGCAAGCCGGGTTCACGTTCGATGCCTGGGTTCAGTGGCTATCGAACACCCCAAGCAGAGACGCAAAGGTGTTCATCACCCTACCTGGTTCTTCAGATGCCGCCAATGCTGGGAACTATATCACCCATCAGCAGGCAAATAATCTCATCAGCGCGTACTACTGCCGGCCATCTTTCGGAGGCGTGGCTGTTTGGGAGGCAACTCGCGGTGACGGCAACCCCTATAACGGCAAATCTTTCCAGGCCACCATGAAAATTTGGCTGCAGGGAGCTGCAGCAGACACGCGACTCGCGAGCTGCCAAGTAGGTGAACGAATTCCAGACAGAGTATCACCCCGCTGACAAACAAGTAGGCACCATCAACAACGACAGCATCTTCTAGCCAACCGACGACATCGACAACACCGACACAGCCCAATCCCGGCGAGCCTGGTTCTTGCGGTCCCGGTGTTGGATCTTGCGGTAGCGGATACTGCTGCAGTGCATATGGATATTGCGGGACGACAAGTGCTTACTGCGGAACGGGTTGCCAGCCGGGCTTTGGCACATGCAGCGCGGGAAGCAGCTCCGGAGGCAGCTCCGGAGGCAGTTCAGGAGGCAATTCAGGAGGCAGCTCTGGTGGCAGCTCCGGTGGTAGTTCCGGCGGTAGCTCAGGCAGCGGTGGGAGCTCAGGGCTGCCGGTCGCAAGAGACGGTGCGTGTGGTGCAGGAATAGCTACTTGCCGAGGCAACGGTGACTACCAATGCTGCAGCAAGAATGGATGGTGTGGTAATTCTGATCTCTACTGTGGTGCTGGGTGCCAACCCGGTTATGGCATTTGCAGTTGATTTCGAGAGCAAAACTGGGGTCCGGTACATAGATATCTTTGGCGTGCTTGTACATGAAAAGGAATGACACCATAGTAATACAAGAGCTTAATCTTAGTTGATAAAGCTGGAGCTTGTAATTGACTGTGAATAATGTCCATGGTATGGACCGACCACACCTTTGAGAGGCTGTTACGTGAAATGGGAGGGTGATGTGCGCATCAAGCTCTTCCCTGGGCAGCGGGCAGCGAGCACAGATGCCATTCTCCACCTGCTGGGATCTTCCTCCACGACTCCACAGCCTCCCACCGTTCCACTCCATCCATCCCACTGCACATCGCCGATCCGATATTCCAACTTCACTGCCTTGCTACGCACGTATACACTTGCTCTCGAATTACAACTACCTCTTGTTAGATGACTTGGACCACAACATTGGATGACAACTTATTTCCTGGAGACGGCGAGCGAAGGCCTCGGATGGGACGTCGTCGAACCTTTAGATTCAAAGCCCGTTACTGAAACTCTCTAGTTGCCCGCGGCCCGAAGATTACTAACTAATTGTAGTAGATGCTGCCGACATGCATACTCGAAACACAGATGACAGATCCGGGCTCCTCGCCATACGGCAGTTGACAGACGCCGGAGTTTTCCCCGAATGTTACCTCATTCGCGTCTTACGACCAAACCTCTCGGCTCTCGGTGCGCCATTCGATAATGGTGGGGACACTTGGGAAACCTTCTGTGTTGTCGTTCTGTCCGTCCCATCTCGCCAGACCACTAGAAACCTCACAGGCGGCTAGACTGAGTCCAATGACTCGCCAACATCTGCTTACTCCTTCTTATTCCCACGCGTCCAGGACTACTGTGGTATGCCACCGGAACGTCAATAAGAAGCTTCTTGTAATTCGCCGAAAAGCTAATCGGCTGCCGGGCTGACAGACTGGCGTTCGACTAATCGGCCCCGAAGATGGCGGGAAAAGATGTTTCCTATTACCGGCCAGGTAATTGGACCTCTCTAAAATCGATACCCACCCCTTTGCACATCTGTCGCACATGTGTCGTCCATCGAACAAAATCATCACGACTTGATTCATGAAGTGGTGGTTCCCCCGCGTATGCACGACAACCCTACCGCTATTGCTGCCGACATCGCTGCCGGTCTCTCCGCTAGGTTGATGCGGCCAACGGCCGAGAAAGATGTCATCCCCATGCGTTGGGACCTCGAGCTAATCTTGGAGCCATTGGAGCCAAGATGGGAGAACTAGCCCCATCGTGAAACCCGGCTTCGAGAAGATTTGCGGACGGCCCGCTCCTCAGGGGCTCAATGCCGCAGCTTTCTTTCTTGTCAATCAGCCTCTAGCCGAACATATTGCGGGAAAGGAACCATAGCCTCGGTGCGACCTAGACTCACAACGACATCACAAACCATTACGTGATGTTCTGGCTCCAGTGCGCTGCTTGTCTTTTGCATGCCGCTAACCTTCGGATGCCCCGCAAACGATGACTCGAGTACCCTACGGAAATGGACTTTTGGCAGGGGGGCTAATTATGCCGACAACTTTCGGTATGACTGCAGCATGCGATTGTATGCAGAGACATGTGTCTTTCGCCAACACTGTATTTGCGCCTTACTGCAACGCTGCGAGATACCGAACTCCACCGAATCTCCCCGCTCAAAAGAAAAAGAAGGAAGGAGATGAGATCCGTGCCGGCTCGCTAATCCATGCATCCCGTCTTTTCGATGGAACGTTCCCAGAACGCGCGGTTAAATCCTTCCAACAAAAAGCCGACCTGCCACACCAATATGACCTCACGTCAAGGATGGGGGCGACGTGCTCCAAGATAACTGCCCGAAACCTCCAATATCCGATAGCTATTATGCGTAAGCGGAGCCAGGAGGACGGCAAATGCAATGGAAGCTTTCCATCTCTTCAAACCCCAAGCAGCCGCGGATTCCATCTTTCAATTACCAAGACGATAGTCGGCGCACGTTCCATGGGCTAGATTTGGGTCGAAACCTTCACAGTCACTTCCGACAAGCACATCCATGTATCCCGAAGCTTGAGGGAATACGAAGTCTTGTTTATATGAAATGGCCCTTACTTGGACAATTTCCAGTGCCCGGAGTGCAACATCCGGCACCGCTACTACGGCTCGTCCAGGAGGTTTTACGGGGTTTGATCAGGAAACCTCGAGATGGTTACACGGCGCCCGCGGCATTCCCGCCGTCTTCTTGCAGAACCAGATTAACTCCTGAGAAGCATACGTTGCCAATCTAGGGTGGGAGTTTCGCGCGAAGCATCAAGAAACTCTGCTTTGTCCTCAAGATACAGGAGGTTGTCGGCCACCTCCGCCAGCTCAGGGCTAATCCGAGCAGCTTCTTGACTCCAGATGCACGAGCCACGTGCTCCCCATACTTCTTTTCAACTATCCGTACGGACTTTTGAAATAGAAGAAAAGGCCGGCTTGGGTGATCCCGGAGCCAACAGTAGCATCTCGTGTTCGATTCGTCCATGTACGTTTCTACGCTGACGAGAAGACAGTCCCCAAGCGCAGAATTCGCAGCGAAGATCAGATGCCAAGCTTTCTTCTTTCTGCCCACTCCCTCCCTTCGTTGGGCCTCTCATCCCTCAGCTTCGCAGCCACGAAAGTCTCTTTTGGGGTTAAGTCGCCCGCCCTAATGCCGACGACCAAGTCATGTCCCAATGGCACCTTGCCAGGGATCGACGCCTTAAGCAGCTGCAGACATGTCCCTCACCGCTTCCATGGCCGATCTTCTGCCGCTCTCGCATTCCATGTCGTTCAATATTTGGCTTCGCTCTCCACTGGCACCATCAGCAGAGTTTTGGCTGCTCCCTCCACGTTGTCAGCCAGCAAGGGCCATCTTCTTTCAGCAGGAGACTGGGGGACTGGAATTGCCCTTTGAAGGATGACCATTTTGCTCACATGCTTTGCGTTTTCGCGATTGGGGGGGAAAACAGCACCCACTAGCGAACGTTACTTCTGATCCTCATCTCCCATCGGAATGGCCGGGGCTGCATGGTTTCTTCTCTGGCGTTAACGCTTACCCCGACTGGGCTTCGCCTTGGAAGGATGAAGCCGCCGTTTACTTCCAGCGTGGGTTACCTGCGGAAGAAGGCTGGTTTTCTTCCATGCTGCAGTGAAAAAACGTTCTAGTGCTAGTGTGTGTTGGCTCGTTGAAGGCGACGCCATCCGTACCGTTGTGCGTGTACCGTTCCCTGACTCGCCCATGAAACACGACGTCTTGGGTCCGATCGCAACGCTACTCTGAGTGTTTGCTGCTAGCCTAAAGTGCTCGCCTCAAAAACACCAGCCCTCTGCGCATTCTAACTCTCAGCCCCCTTCCTGTGCTCGTCCGCTCTCCGTTCTTGAACCGGCCACGAACGAGCCCAACTTTTCGAACAGTCAGATCGGGACCCTGCTAGACATTTTCCGAATTTTCACTTCCAATCGTGCATGACGTCGTGGAACCACTCTTTGTTGACCATGCTATCGGTAAGTTCTGTTGTTTAATCCCTTTTGTCAGTTCTTTTCCCTTCTCATCTCAACTATCCACTAACATCCACCTTCTCCGATCATGAAGCAAAATACGGAATAATATCTGTTAATGTCTCAGCCTCGCTGCTATGATGTTCAGGCTGGTCAATCATGATGACCCTCCTCTCCCCACACTTCAAGCTCGAAGAGGTCTCCGAAGATGACATGGTCATTGCATCTCTGGCCTGGGGCTTCACTCTCGGCTTCGGCTGGCTCACAGTATGGACGGCGATCAAGCAGACCACCGCCATGTACAGGCGGCAAGGCGATCGTATCTACCGGAACTCTTACATCTGGATGATTTGGCTAGAGATCCTCGTGTGTACCATCTTCAGCATTATATGTTGGCTGCATCTCAAGGGCATCATACCGCCAAGGTAAGTCATCAGTACTACTTCAAGATGTTGTCGATTTGATACTTACTGCCGACATGTTCAGCTTTGCATTCTACTTTTGCATTTGTAAGTTACTTTGTACGACCTTGTCTGCTGGGCCATCCACTGACCACCACAGTGACCACTTGGGCTCTCCAGGTTCAATTTCTTCTCCAAATTATCATTAATCGATGCGCCATTCTTCTTACCAACCAGAAGCGGGCATGGCGACTTAAAGTGGGCGTCGCCGTACTGATTACCGCCATCAATATTTCCGTCTACAACATTTGGGTGCCGGCTCGGTTACAGGTATCAGAACGATATATCGAAATCAACGAGTGGTGGGATCGCTGCGAAAAGGTCATTTACCTGATCGTCGATGGCGCGCTCAACATTTACTTCGTCCGCATCGTACAGAAGAACTTGGTCACCCACGGCCTGACGAAGTACAAGCGACTGACGCAGTTCAACATGTTCATCATTGGGTTTTCTTTGAGCATGGACGTGCTCATCATTGCGATGATGAGTCTCAACAACACATTTGTGTAGGTGTTCTTGCGCGAAACTCAAATTCTCATTGTGGACATGGCGATGGATTTTGGGTAAGTGTGTACCGCGTACTAACGTTGCTCTATAGTTATATGCAATTCCACCCTTTGGCATACATGGTCAAGCTCAAGATCGAGATGTCGATGGCCGAGCTGATTGGAAAGGTTGCTCGGAAACGCGATCTCGGCATTCTCTCTGCTGCCGACTTCAACGGAAACAACCGAGACTCGTACCAGCCATCCGAGTACAGCTTGCAGTTACCCACTTACGCGAGAGGTCGCCCCGTTGGTGGCATCGATGCTACGATCAGCAGCCAGCCTCCGAATCCCATCGAACTCAACAACGTTGCGAAGCCAAAGATACCCGCACTGCGAGGCGTTAACGTCGCTGCCGTCAGCTCCGGCCCAAGCAGTAGGAGACCTTCGATAGGTGCCGCGAACGCTACCGATGCAGATGGACAGCCCAAGATGGCGATTTACAGAACGCGGGAGGTAGTCGTCGAAATCGAAAGGGTCCCTCCCAATCAAGGCCACCAACCGAGTACGAGCCAGGCGAGTCAGCTTACCCTCGACGACTCTTTCGATATCACCAACTTTGAGGACGATTCATCGATCAAGGGTCTCTCGGCGGCTCAGAAATCACTGGCACTGCCAAACATCCAAGCCCCGTGGGCTACACAAGAATTTAGCACAAAGATATGGGACGGCACGAATTGCGACGAGGATCCCACCCTGCCGACAACGATCGCGAAGATTGGATCATGGCCAAAGGACACCTGAAAGAGGGGTTACAAATCAAGCGCACTACACTATCGAAACCACACAGCCGAGGCACATCGTCTGGCCAAGGTGGACCCCGACCACGCTCAGACTGAACCGAGCGGGTGATGCGGCGGGCGAAGCTTGGATGACGACTAAGGAACGCCACACATCACCCAATCGCTAGATCTATCGCTGAGTGGGAAACCCTAAAAAGAAATCGGTTGAACGCCTCCTCTCGCCCCCCTTTGTACGCCACATTCCCTCGTGCGGCTGTCTCAACCCTTTGAGTCTCGACGCTGTAGCGGAGGGAGGGGATGGAGGATTCGATACGCCTGAGACCCCCGTTCCTCGTAAGGCTCGATTCCGTTCAGTTTCAGCACTGCGGTTTCACAAAACGTTGCTGCAGAGAACTAGATCCGTAGATCCGATCTAGAGAGTCATCATTGTCGACTCGACGGGCTGAACTTTGTGGGATGAACGATTTAGTCGGGGACACCTATCGGCGTGCTGCCGAATCTGAGCCCAACCCAGCACTCCATTCCACTCCGACTTCTCCAC